GGGTAAGGGGGAGAGATCAACAAAAGAACTTGTATCCATGCATATAAGCCTAACCAATGGACACAGACACGGGGGGAGGGGGGGGAATAGGGCATGAGTGGGGGATGGGGGGTAATGGTGTAATAAGGACACATAGGTAATACCTTAATCAATAAAATAAATAAATAAATAAATAAATAAATAAATAAATAAATAAGGTAGTATTTTTAAATAGTGCATTTGCTTCCCATCTTGAGAAATGTATTATCATTTTAGATTGTTTTAACAATTTTATTTAAAATATTATTTAAAGACTAGAGGCCCGGTGCATGAAATCTGTGAATAGGAGTAAGGGGGGCACGAGATTGTCCCTCAACCCAGCCTGCACCTTCTCCAATCTGGGACCCTTTAGGGATCAGGTCTAAATGGGCAGTCAGACATCCCTCTCACAATCCAGGACTACTGGCTCCCAACTATTCATATGCCTGCCTTCCAGATTGCCCCTAATCTCTTCTGCCTGTCAGTCTGATCACCCTCTAACCACTCCCATGCCAGCCTGATTGATGTCTAACTGCTCCCCTGCCAGCCCGTTTGCCCCCAACTTCTCTCCTCTGCTGGCCTGGTCAGCCCTAACTGCCCTCCTCTGCAGGGTTGATCATCCCCAACTGTCCTCTGTTGCAGGCCTCATCCCTCCCAACTGCCCTCTCCTACTGGCCATCTTGTGGTGGCCATTTTGTGTCCACATAAAGGCAGGATCTTTGACCATTTGGAGGCAGCCATCTTATGTGTTGAAATGATGGTCAATCTGCATATTATAGGATGGAGGCCTGGTGCATGGGGTGGGGGCCAGCTAGTTTGCCCTGAAGGGTATCCCAGATCAGGGTGGGGGGGCCTGAGCCAGGGGTCTGTGGTTGTTTGCAGGCTGGCCACGCCCCCCCCCACAACCTAAACGGAGGCCCTGGTATTTGAGATATATTTACTTTCTACAATTAAGTATCTCTTGTGTTAAATTATCCTTATTTCAATTTAAATATGGATTAAAAATCAAATTTTGTCTTTTGTGCATTTTACCTAAAACAAAGTTTTAAGAATTAAAAATCATGATGCCAAAGCCAATTTGGCTCAGTGATAGAGCGTCAGTCTGCAGACTGAAGGGTCCCGGGTTCGATTCCGGTCAAGGGCATGTACATTGGTTGCAGGCACATACCCAGTAGGGGATGTGCAAGAGGCAGCTGGTCAATGTTTCTCTCTCATCTAGCTCTCTATCTCTCTCCCTTCCTCTCTGTAAAAAATCAATAAAATATATTTTTTAAATCATGAATTTAAATAACGCAGACCCTAAAATTAAGGCCAATGAAATCTCAATATTGCAATATAAATTAATATTTCTCAACTAAAATAAGGTTCATCAAACCTAAAGCATATACTACTACCTACACTCATAATGCTATTTGAGCCTATAGAACAAAGTAGAATCACAGGGGTATTTTGGGGGAAATGGCCAACAGAAAACCTGAAAAAGAGAAAACCATATAAGTTTAAAAGAACAGCTTTAAGATTGGTTTTCTTTTTAATCTGAGGAGGCAGTCAGAATCTAATATATGTGAACCCAAAATGCAATTAGGACAATTTTTTCCAACAAGATAATAATAAAAGACAATGGTTCTCATATATTAATACATTTCAGTCATCCATTTTTTCTCTCCTGAGATTAGGATTTGAAACATTTCAGTATACTGGTAAAATTTGATAATTTGCAACTCGGGCAGCATCAGTCATGCATCTTTTATTCTATTCATTTAAGTTCACCATGGATATTTTAAAATATTTTGATTGCCTTCAAATCATTCAAGATTCCTTCCATTGCCTAATTGGAGTAATTGACAATCCACACTGAATTGAATGTAAACTCTAGCTCTGCTCTCATTTGTGAAATATATTCCACATTAATAATAGGCAGCTCTCTAAGCAAAATCAATGGTGTTGCATCCCAGCTATTCCATTATTCTACTCTTTTGTTTGTTATTTTCTAATCTGGCCACCCTCCACATCTTTCTTATCTATATATTATCTTTCCATCACCAAAATTGTCAAGTCTGCTTTATACTATGAAATTCTTTAGACCCTCAGGATAGCTTTTCATGTTTTCTAATTTTAGCTCAACAGAAGAATTCTTCTCCAAAGATTACTGAAGAGAATCTCATGTTCTGATATTTTGCAAGCATTTGTTTTTTGGAATTGTAGTGAGAAGCAAATTTTTATTCCCATATGTACCTCCATCTTCAAGTATTGAGTTTATGCACCTTGGATAACCTTCCCACTTCCATGCTATCATAAACACTAGTTTCTGCCTTCTTGCTACAATAAGACCTTTCTTTACTCCCTCAAATATTTCAGACACCTCTGAAGTTTATACCCATTTCCACTTATTCTTCCTCACATGCAATGTGATTGCTACAGCTTGTTTTAATTTGTTTCAATTTGTTTGCATGCCAATTCCTGAATGATTTTTGTCTGAAGACATATGTATTCACTGTCTATGAGATCATCTTGAAAAGGGAAATCTGGGGGGGGTAATAGATCAACCGAAGGACTTGTATACATGCATATAAGTACAACCAATGGACATAAAACTCTGGGGAGGGAGGGTATGTATGGGAGGGGGGGCAATGTTAAAATATGTACACAGATAAGAATTTAATAAAAAAATAAAAATTAATTAATTAATTAAAATAAATAAAAATAAAAAAGAAAACTATTAATTTCTCTAGCATAAATCTTTCAACTGCATTAAGAATTTGCATTCCATGATAGACACCTCTTGCTATAGAAGGGAAAGTGATTGACTCTTCTGGAAGGTACCAGCAATTCTCGATTTCAGCCCGCTTTGTGATAGAAATCTATTAAATTGCTTTCACCCCATCTCTAGCCAGTCCTACCTATCTAACACTAAGTATGCACTGACCAGCATGCCATCCTTGTCTTTATTAACCTGATGTTCCCATACTAGATTTTGAAAAGACTGAAAGACATTGTTTTGTTTTTATATAACATTTAGGCAAATATAGGTTGTTTCAAGTAAATTTATTTCAATGTCATTTTTGGAAACTCGGCTTATCTTTGCTATTAATTTTCTTGATAAAAACAATAAAGTATAATTAAAAGTTATCCTATTTTATTTTTTGTTATCCTTCTCCTTCTGACTATTTAACCTATAGGAAAATTGTTTCCCAGACAGCATGGAAGCTATGGGAGCACCTTAAACTATTACCACTTTCTTACTGGAAGTGGGTAGCTCCGTGATTAACCTTTGCATCAAGAAAACTTGGATTCAGATCCTGGTTCTCTCCTGCTCTAACTTATGTGACTATGGGAAAAATATTCAACTTTTCTGAGTCTTATATATAAAATTGTTATCATAATTATTGATTTATAAGATTACTCTTATAATTAAATTAGTGGCCCAGTGCACAAAATTAATATAATACAAGGGGGGGGGGGTGGAAGTTGTTTCTCAGCTTCACCTGCACCCTCTCCAATCTGGGACCCCTCGAAGGATGTCCTACTGCTGGTTTTAGAGGGATCGGGCCTGACTGCCTGATTGCCCCTAACCACTCTGACTGTTGGCTAGCTCACCCCCAACTGCCCCCCACTGCTGGTCTGCTCCCCCCCAAATGCTCCACCCCGCCAGCCTGATCACGCCCAACTGCCACTCCTGTTAGTCTGCTCACCCCATCTTCCCTCACCACTGTCCTGATCACCTCTAACTGATCCCCACTGATGGCCTAACTACCCTCAACTGGCCCCCTGCTGGTCTGCTTCCCACCAGTCTGATCACCACAACTGCTGCCCATCCTGGCCTAATGACCTCTCCCCACCCCCGGCAATCCAAGTTCCCAGTCCCTCCTTCCTTTCTTCCTTTCTTTCTTTCTTCCTTTCTTTCTTCCTTCCTTTCTTTCTTTCTTCCTTTCTTTCTTTCTTTCTTTCTTTCTTTCTTTCTTTCTTTCTTTCTTTCTTTCTTTCTTTCTTTCTTTCTTTCTTTCTTTCTTTCTCTCTCTCTCTCTCTCTCTCTCTCTCTCTCTCTCTCTCTCTCTCTCTCTCTCTTTCTTTCTCTCTTTCTTTCTCTCTTTCTTTCTCTTTCTTTCTCTTTCTCTTCCTTCCTTCCTTCCTTCCTTCCTTCCTTCCTTCCTTCCTTCCTTCCTTCCTTCCTTCCTTCCTTCCTTCTCTTTCTTTCTTTCTTCTTTCTTTCTTTCTTTCTTTCTTTCTTTCTTTCTTTCTTTCTTTCTTTCTTTTCAAGCAGAGGCCACGGCCAGCTGGAAGCAAGTATCTTGGATTTATTTATCTTCTATAATTGAAACTTTGTAGCTTTGAGCGGAGGCCACAGCTGGCAAGGGCAGGCGGGAAACCTGGCTTCTTCCATTGCCAGGGGCAACCCAAGCCTCCTGCTTGCTCCAGCTCCTTTATCATCGCCATTTTTGTTGAGATTTATCTTCTATAATTAAAACTTTGTAACCTTAAGCAGAAGCCAGGGCCAGCTAGAAGCAGGTATTTGGGATTTATTTATCTCCTATAATTGAAACTTTGTAACCTTGAGTGGAGGCCAGAGCCAGCAAGGGTGGGCAGGAAGCTGGGCTTCCTCCATCACTAGGGCAACCCAAGCATCCTGCTCAGTCCAGCACCATGGCTGTCACCATCTTGGTTAGGTTAATTTGCATTCTCACTCCTGATTGGATGGTAGGCATGGCTTGTGGGTGTAGTGGATGTACAGTCCATTTGCATGTTTGGCTTTTATTAGTGTAGATGAGACAATCAATTAGAAACATATAGGAGAGTCTAAAGTGCCTCTTAGTTTCTTTAATATAATTAACTAGATCACCAAAAGGTAGAAATCAAACTGCTGAGTTCTAAATCTTGATCAGATTTAGGCTGTATGTAACTGGGTGTTAATATGAATATTAATGATATTATCTGATGATTAGTTATACCTCTGATGGCTGTTTACATTCTTTTTACATGATTAGAAGCCACAACCAACAATGTGACAAAGAAAGAGAAAGAGTTGACTACAAAAAGTGCAACAGTGACAGATCTTCCACTTCCAAAAGATGTTTCCACATTACCAAGTTCCCAAAACAAGAGTAAGTATAAAAATGTATGCTACAATGTTAAACTAGTGTGTTAAATAAAATTAGATTTGGAATGTTTTCTAGACCTCTGCTACCAAAGAACCATGCCCACCTATATTTTCTCCTAGCCTCTACCAAATAAGAGGATCATTTGACAACCTTGCTTTGTACAGTGATATTCTAATAGAAAAATTCTTAAAAAACAAATTTCTGAAGCTGACTAGGTAAAAAGACTGAAACAACCTAAAACAATGATAAACATTGCATTAGAAATTTAAAATAGTTCCATGACGAAAGCTCAATACAGGGTGGCTTCACTTGCTATTCTGTAAAATATCTGAAAAGAAACAATAATTAGTTTCAAATTATTTCAAGAAATAGAAGAGGGAACAGCACATAAGTAATTATCTGAGATGAGTATTATCTTAATACCAGAGCTAGAAAAGAATAAAAAGAAAAAGCAAGCCAACTAAACTACAGACCAAATCCCTCATAAATATAGACACAAATATCCTACTAAAATATTAACAAACCAAATTTAATAACATATAAAAACATAAAAATATAAACAAGTAGGATTTATCCAGGAATGCAAGATTGATTTAGCATTCTATAATGTAATATACTATAATAATAGAATCAGTAGATACAGAAGAGTACTTGACAAAATTAAACACACACTAATAATTAAAACTCGATATAAACTAGAAATAAAATGATACTTCCTTAAACTGATAAAGGACATAAATGAAAAACATACAGCAAACAATATATGTAATAGTGAAAAACAATGTCTTTCCCTTAAGATCTGGAACATAGAAAAGTTGTCCATTCTCATTACTTTTGTTCAAAATTATAACAAATGATTCTAGATAGTACAATAAGGTAGTAGATAGATATATACTAGTAGATCTATTCATCCAAATTGGAAAGAATAAAACAAAACAGCTTTTCTTAGCAGACTACATCTGTGTAGAAAATCCATAGGATCCACAAACTATACAAATTAGTAAACAAAACAAACAAAAAACACAAAAAAACACACAAAAAAACCATTTTATAACACAGGATATAAGATATATAAAAATAAATGACTGTATATTAGCAATGATGATTCTAAAATAAAATTAAGGAAATAATGTCATTTACAATTGCATGAGAAACAATAAAATATATAGGAATAAATTTAACAATATAAGTGAAAGATTTGTACACTGAACTATAAAACATTTCTGTAAGAAATTCAATATCTAATTAAATAGAGATGTTACATAATCACAGATTATAAGACTCAATATTTTAAGATAACAGTTCTCCCCAATTTTATAAATAATTAATTAACATATTCAATAAAATACCTGTGAGAATCACTGCAAAATTAAGGGCAGGGGTTTGTTTTTGTTTTATTGTGTGCTTTTTTAATATATTGATATGCTGATTCTAAAATATATATAGAAATGAAAAAGACCTAGAATAGACAAATTACTTTTCTAAAAAAAAAAAAAAAAGTTGGAAGTCTTACACAAGCCAATTACAAAATTTAGTCTAATTTTTATTGAGGTAACGAATGTCAATAGTAGCATTATTCATAATAGTCACACTGGAAATAATCCAAATATTCATTGACTGGTTAAATAGACTATTCTATTGGATTTTTCGTTTGGAATGGATTTGGAATATTCCAAAACATGGGATATTCATATAATAGAATACTATTCAGGAATTTAAAAAAGCAAAATACTAATACATGTTATAACACAATGAACCTCAAAGACATGCTCAGTGACAGAATCCTTTCCAAAAATATTACATACCATGTAATTCCATTTATATGAAATATCCAGAATTAATATTTTATATGTTAAAAGGGTAGACAGTGGTTGCCTAACACTGAAGGTGGAACTGGGATTGATTGCTAAAAAGTCTCAAGTCAATTTCTTGTGTTAACGAAAATGTTCTAAAACTAGATTATAGTGATAGTTGCACAACTTTATAACTTTACTAAAAAGTATTGAGTTGTATACTTAAATTAGTTAACTTAGTTTTAAACTTCTTTATAAAGCTTTGTTTAAAAGCTAAAGAGAAGAAAATGTTGACTTAAGACCTAAGTCAGCAAACACATTAGTCAAATATCAACAGTACAATGATTGAAATTTCTTTTGTGAGCCAAATTTTTTAAACTTAAACTAATTCTAATGACACTTCTTCAAAATAGACTCGCCCAGGCCATGGTATTTTGTGGAAGAGCCACACTCAAGGGGCCAAAGAGCCGCATGTGGCTCACAAGCTACAGTTTGCAAACCATGAAAGGCCAATCAAATTTCCTTTTTATGTCATGTGAACTAGAAAACCCCCCCAAAAAAAAACAAACCAAAAAAAAAAAAAATGATTAGCTGTGGGAACTAAAGCAGCAAGGTTTTAGTAGAATGAGTGAAGACAGCCATGGTGATTTCTAGGCATCACTATGAGATAGTAAAATTATTATGAGTAAGTAGAGTTGATAGAGCAGAATGGAGATAGTATATGGGGAGTCAGAGGAACCTCATGAGCAAGATTAAGTTGTTCATGAGAGAGAGAGTATCAGGACCTAGAACTCCCTGATTTCTGACAGATTTCCAATTCTAGTCTACAAATATCTTCATAATGAGCACTTCTTATACCCTGTCCTCCATGATACGAAGGAATCTGTACTTTTATTGAAACTATCCTGGATAGAAAAGCTAGTAATCTGCCATAAGAGTGTTACCAGATGCCATTCATTTTAAATAATGTATTTTTTTACATATCCACAGTCTTTAATAAGAAGCAGTCTCTAAGTCTTTTCTTGGGAGATGTCTTAGGTGAAAAGAAATGGTAAGTGGGAACTGTGCATATCCAAGACCCATTCCATCAGGAACATCTGTTTTGTTTTGTTTTTCCCTTTTTATCATAATCATTTTAAGCAAAATAGAAAGAAGGTTATCTATTAAGACTAATTTCACACAATAATTGTGAACTAATAATTTTATTTCATGAGACAGTACCCACAAAGAAGGATTTGAAGAACAGGGTCATTCCTACTTCACGTGAAAAACATTCCTTGGGTTAATACTTGGCTTCTTAAAGTAGAACCTATCTTATAGTAAACATATGTATGAAAGATGCCCTTACCAAACCAAAACGTCATAAACCTCACCTCATGATAGGATTGCCCTGAATACAAACAAAAATAATATGAATATGCATCTGCTGCAAAATGTGTAACATTTGAGGATTGCACTCAATTAATTAGCATGTTGCACTAATACATTCAGTGACTGGTGAGGACAATGTCATTCAGGTTCATAGTTTATTCAAATTAGCACTTATACAACAGTGAGTGGTCATCCCCATGAGTCACTTAAAACTGCTCAATTTACTTTGATTCATGCAGTACAATGCCTTCTGCATCTCAGTTCTAGGGACTACTGTATTCACTTGGCTTCTAAACACAATTAGAAGTGACTTTCTTCCAAGTAATCTAAAAAAAATACACCCACAAAGCCATTTCTTAAAAAATGAAACAGCATGGAAATCAAGATAATGAAATAAGGGTATTTACTGTTGCCCTTTGCATTTATCATTTGAGTAACCAGTTCTGTACTAAGTCATCTGGAAATTTTGTTGTAAGAAATCATGTCTCCCAAGATTGTTCACATTCCTAAAAGTGCTTTTACTTAGCATGGACTCCACTGGGTAATAATGATTTTATTCACATTTCCATTTGTTCATTATGAAACCAGGAGCTTGCCCAAATTCCTAGTTAGCACCCTTTCCATTTCCACCCCTCACATACATAAACATTCAGAAATAGAGGAGCCAACACAGAGAGGCAGAAAGAGAACAAAGCAATCGATTGGTGGGGGAGTTTGAACACATGAAAAACAATTTTCCTTTTAAACATATGGGCAATGAGTTCTTAAATAATGACTATCAAATAAAGGCACTGTGAGTATCTTATCTCAAGTGCAGGTTTGATTTGGAGAAGAGTTAGTGAGGTTTGCTGCTTTACTCCCCAAAATAAAGAATGTAGGTCAAAATGAAGTTTGTCCTGAAAACAACTCTAATTTTTTTCATTCTATTCGATCTCTCCTTGCTTTTCATCACATTGGATATTTCATGCCAATCCCTCTTTCACTGAAATGTTTCTGTTGAGAAACCCAGACAACAAAAAGCTAAAGAAGTGAATTACCACCAAACCAGTGTTACAAGAACTGTTAAAAGTTAGAGAAAGAGAAACACCATATGACAGTATTTCACTTATATGTGGAATCTAATGAACAAAATAAACTAACAAAAAAGTCATGTGTATTTCTCTTATTTTACTCTTTTATTCTGCCTATAGCATACACATTCCTAGAATCTTAGAATTTTTGAGATTTAAATCCTCATTAATTCAGTGCTCTGGCATTATAACAATGTGGTGGCCCTTTTAATTAATTAATTTATTTATTCACTAAAGATCCTTTGGAGAACGTCGATGTGCCATGCCTTGTAGTTTCTGGAAGTGGTCAGCAATCTTCTGTGTTCCTTGGTTTGTCAATACTTTAATCTCTGCCTCTGTCTTCACATGGACCTCTCCTCTATCTTTTTCTTTTCTTCTAAAGACAATAGTGGCCTGGTGCACAGATTCGTGCACCAATGAGATCCCTTGGTTTGGCCTGTGAGATGGGGTCAAAAACAGCGTGGTGTATGGATTCATTCAGGGCATGCCAGGTCCATTTCACATAGACCCAATCAGGCCCATCAGGGCAATTTGGGCTGTCTTGCCCAGTCCTTATCAGGGCTGATTGGGGCCAGCAGGGGAGAGACATTTGGAGGACTCCAGGGAGTGTCCAGCCCATCTCGCCCAGTCCCTATCAGCTGAACCACAGCAGCAAGCTAACCTACTGGTTGGAGTATTTGCCCCCTGGTGGTCAGTATAGATCATAGCAACTGGTCAAACAGTCAAAAAATTGGCCTGACAGCATATCAGGCTTTTATTATATAGGATG